AGCGAGCGCTCTACCATTTGAGCTAATTCCCCTACATGTTGCAGGATGCTCCACCAAACAGCTGAGACCTGAGCAGGGCTGTCAGGGTGATGTAGCTTCTTCTGGGATTTCTTGTGGCTCAGCTGCTCCCTCTAGCATGTGAGAGGTAGATGGATCGACGCCGGCATTCTCCAGAGAACTTTGAACCCTTTCTCCTCTCTACTGTCTTATTTGTGTCTCATTAAATCAGTCGTACACACAGAACCGTCCAACCTGGATCTGTCGGCATGTTGCTGCCACTCAACTCGTATTAGAAAGCTACCCACTCACCACACAAGTAACCAATGCAGTGTGCCAATACAAATCAAGGATTTGTGGCTCCCGCAGGATGGAAGGGCTTTTATTTTGGAAAACACTTCCTTTCTTAAAATGCTTTTACAGCTGTTGGTTTGTGCAGCTTTGTTCCTGGGCAGGTGTCACGGAGGGAAAAAAAACAGCTTTAATAAGCTTTGTTAACCTTTTTTTATTAAGCGACACAAAGATAACAAATCTCAGCTCCTTTAGATCCTCCATGGCCTGTAGGGCTTATTTATTTATTATTCACGCAAAGGTAATTTAAAACAAAGGTAAGAAACCACAAAGGGTTTATAGTGAAACCTCCCCTCTACCTCCCCTCTAGGATTTACAATGTATCCTATTTAACAAAATAATTATAATTCATCATTATTATTTGCTTGTCTGATTGGAAATTTATGGACATCAGTTTTTTTATGAAGAATTTGGTTGGGCTGATTTTAAATCAAATCACTCTGCAGGAGGTGAAATATTTTTTACAGGTGAAAAATGAGTAAAAATAAAATTTGTAATGAAATACTGTGGTTCTGCAGAGACGTCCTGGTCACGCACAGGTTTTCACAGAATCACACCACAATCATTTTAATATGTTTCTCCCTGATAGAAATGATCATTCCCTTCAGAATAATCACAGTTAGCAGCGTTTAGCTCTCTCACGGTTACAGTAGGAACTCAGATCGCAGGCAGGAGAGCAAAAACGGATAATGATTGAACACTGTGGTCAGTGTATTTGTTCTTGGAGCTGTCAACATAACCGCATGACCGAGATGGCGAGCTCCCGCAACAACCGCACACTTCTTAGCTTCCCAACAAGTCAATGCTTCAAAAAATCGTCAAGCGATACGAGGTAACTGTTGAAGCCGTGGATGGATCACCATGTGCTGTCTGTGAGCCGACGTTAAACTTAGAAGCTGGAAGTTTTTTATCTTGTTTACTGTTTATTTAGCAGGTTAGCTAACTGTTAGCATAACGCGCGGCTAACGTGGCTAGCAGGCTCTGCGATGTCGGACTAATGTTGTGATATTTAGACACAGCCAGCAGAAACTGTGTGAAAGTTAAGCCTCATTTAAAGCTGACTAAATAACGAGTGTAGCAGGAAGTCTTTGTAAGTGGTTTGTTGCTTTTTGTGGCTCTTCAGGTAACTTGCAGCTCAGGTGTTAAACAGGTGTGTCTGCCTGCTGTTGTATGTAAATACACTTGATAAGGTGTTGATGTAGTTTCGGGTGAAAGAAACTCAATCAAAGCGCAGAAACCAGCCTTGTTTAAATCTGACTCAGACCATAAGGCTGCAGGTGAGATCCACAGATTTATCGTTTTGGTTCACACCTGTCCACCAGGCACTGTTTACATTCAGAAGAGCACTCTGAATCCTGAAATCCCCACTAGACAAACACTTCATTTGAAATATAGTGCAGCAGTGACATTACATTAAGTAAACTAAAGGTACAGGTGGTTCACAGTGAAATGCTGCATTTTATAAATGAAAACACAAAAGCACATTTTACTTCAACCCTTACAAGTGTATTTATGTGTCACCTGAATGAGGACATGTCTACATCACTTTAACGTTAAGCTTCAGGTGTGATTTAGAGAGAAGTTACTGGTAGAAGAGAAAGATTGCGAACGTGGATGCGAGAGGCAGGTAGAGAGGCTCACATCGCTTTTCTCTCCATGTGGTACACTAAAATCTGCATAGCATATTTTACATGACTGTGACTGATGTTGCTCAGGCTAACCTCCTCACATACCTGCATACTCTTCTTCTTCTTGTTTTATTAGCGCGTGCCGTTTGAGCGAATGACCTCCCGTCACTAGATGCTTTACCTGATGGGAATGTAGAAAACATTGGTTTTTGTTTAATATCTTTTTTTCTTTCTTTTTTTTTTTAAGAAAGATTAAAAATGTGGGAGGATTTATGGGAAAATATTTAAAAGTTAACCACAGAATCCTGGGTAAACAGGATGCTTTACAGGAATGATTGTTGCACTAAACTACTTCATTTACCATGAATGAAGTAGTTTGCAAGAACAAAACAAAAATGTTTGTGCACACGTACAGAGGTATTTTTATAACAGGAGTTTTTCCTCCGTCGTTTAAAAAAAATCTCTGTCTACATGACAACGCAAAAACACGCCATCAAGCGCTGTCAAGGACATATGACCCAAACCGTAAAGCCATGTCGGCTAATCGTAGCCAAAATCGTAAACAAAGCAGGCAGTGACTAACAGTCTGACATCAAACACAGCAGATAACGGCGCGCACTCTGATGTCGCAGGTAGGGCTGAAACGATTCATCGATAAAATCAATTCATAAAACGCTTCGACACAAATTCTTTGCATCGATACTTCGTTTAATCCATGTAACTTTACAGCACAGTGTTTCGCAGGGACGTTTATTACTGTCGCAAATCACGCTTACGCTGTGACCCCCTGTCACCTATCAGTCACGTAGTGTGAACGCTCCAACGACTTCAAGACGGCAGTGATATTACAGCAAGTTGTGTGAACAGCACGGCCATCGGCCGACGCTGAAAGTCGTGTAGTCTGCATGAGCCTGTAGTATAACTTGTATAGCACTCAGGTGATGTTTGTGTTTGTAAAGCAGCTGTCTGGTTGTTGGTCTGATGTTTGCTGTATGACACTAAATCACCTATAAACGTGCACTGCTGATCCAGTTACCGGAGGGGGGGCGCCGCCGCCAAGCAAAAGTACTTCTTAAACGACGCATCGATGAATCGTTGAAATAATCTATAGAAGCTTCAAATACTAAAATCATCGTTTGCTGCAGCCCTAGTCGCAGGGCAAAAACTCCGGTTTTACCGTCAACACAACAACACTGCAACCGGCGTTTTTGCGTTTCCATGTGGACAAACGGCCAAACCGTGTAGAAAAAGTCACGGTTTTAAAAATACCTGTGTTCGTGTAGACAGGGTGAAAGTCCCTCCCTTCCCCTTCAGCCCCATCAGACCTTATTTCGGACAAATATGTACGATAGTCGAATGCGAGAGACTTATGTTTAGATCTCGTTTGAATTGTGCTCTGAATTACACACATGATGTTTGTCAGTTTAAAAGATAATTTAAATCAAGAAAGTCTCAGCAAAGCAGTGAAGTAACGTTTAGTTTTGTATGAACCTTTCTCAGCTTCAGTAACGTTAGCTTTAGTAACAGTAGCTTCAGTAACAGTAGCTTTAGTAACAGTAGCTTCAGTAACAGTAGCTTTAGTAACAGTAGCTTTAGTAACAGTAGCTTCAGTAACGTTAGCTTCAGTAACAGTAGCTTTAGTAACAGTAGCTTCAGTAACGTTAGCTTCAGTAACGTTAGCTTTAGTAACAGTAGCTTCAGTAACAGTAGCTTCAGTAACGTTAGCTTCAGTAACAGTAGCTTTAGTAACAGTAGCTTTAGTAACAGTAGCTTCAGTAACGTTAGCTTCAGTAACGTTAGCTTTAGTAACAGTAGCTTTAGTAACAGTAGCTTCAGTAACGTTAGCTTCAGTAACGTTAGCTTCAGTAACATTAGCTTTAGTAACAGTAGCTTCAGTAACGTTAGCTTCAGTAACAGTAGCTTTAGTAACGTTAGCTTCAGTAACGTTAGCTTCAGTAACAGTAGCTTTAGTAACAGTAGCTTCAGTAACAGTAGCTTCAGTAACAGTAGCTTCAGTAACGTTAGCTTCAGTAACAGTAGCTTTAGTAACAGTAGCTTCAGTAACGTTAGCTTTAGTAACAGTAGCTTCAGTAACGTTAGCTTTAGTAACAGTAGCTTCAGTAACGTTAGCTTTAGTAACAGTAGCTTCAGTAACAGTAGCTTTAGTAACAGTAGCTTCAGTAACGTTAGCTTTAGTAACAGTAGCTTCAGTAACAGTAGCTTCAGTAACAGTAGCTTCAGTAACGTTAGCTTCAGTAACGTTAGCTTTAGTAACAGTAGCTTCAGTAACAGTAGCTTCAGTAACGTTAGCTTTAGTAACGTTAGCTTCAGTAACGTTAGCTTCAGTAACAGTAGCTTCAGTAACGTTAGCTTTAGTAACAGTGGCTTCAGTAACAGTGGCTTCAGTAACGTTAGCTTTAGTAACAGTAGCTTTAGTAACAGTAGCTTTAGTAACAGTAGCTTTAGTAACAGTAGCTTCAGTAACAGTAGCTTCAGTAACGTTAGCTTTAGTAACAGTAGCTTCAGTAACGTTAGCTTTAGTAACAGTAGCTTCAGTAACGTTAGCTTCAGTAACAGTAGCTTTAGTAACAGTAGCTTTAGTAACAGTAGCTTCAGTAACAGTGGCTTCAGTAACGTTAGCTTCAGTAACAGTAGCTTTAGTAACAGTAGCTTTAGTAACGTTAGCTTCAGTAACGTTAGCTTTAGTAACAGTAGCTTTAGTAACGTTAGCTTCAGTAACGTTAGCTTCAGTAACAGTAGCTTTAGTAACAGTAGCTTCAGTAACGTTAGCTTCAGTAACGTTAGCTTTAGTAACAGTAGCTTCAGTAACAGTAGCTTCAGTAACGTTAGCTTCAGTAACAGTAGCTTTAGTAACAGTAGCTTCAGTAACGTTAGCTACTGAGCTGCATGAGAAATGATTCACTGCTTCCTCTGCATCTCTAAACAAATAAAAACACTGTTAGCTAAAGAGCAGCTGTGAGCAGCAGTGCATGCTGGGAATGACTGTTGTGTCCTTTGGTCCAGCTGCGTTCACAGAGCGACGGTCACCAGAGGAGCCTCGGCCGTCTGAACAGGAAGCTACGGCAGCTCAGCAGGTCCATGTGTGACTCCGATCAGCTGACAGCCGAGCAGCTGAAGTCGACCACCGAACAGCTGAGAGCTCTGAACCACACGGTGGAGCTGCTGCAGGTACACACACCGCGTTGAGCCGCATTGAGCGCCGTGAGAGTTGTTGTTCTGCTTCTGACGGCAGCTTTCACCAACAGAGACCGAGCGAACACGAACCCACGCCGTCATCTGAACCCACGCCGTCATCTAAACCCACGGTGCAGCTGAGGGCCGAGCTGGCTGATGCTCAGAGACACATAAACAAACTGAGACAGAAGCTGGACCGGACCAGGACCAGGACTGGGATCAGGAGCAGAGATGGAGGACAGTGGTGCTTCGTACCTCCTGGACACTGTGTGAGACGTTTTTTTAATCTCAGACTGAAACCTGATGTGGTCTGAGGCATTTAAAGTGAATAACTACAGATGAGTTGGATCACTGAGACAAACTCATGAAGGAAACGCAGACGGTAATGAAGCAGGAGGGCAGGGACCGGTGGTGCTGATGATGAGTGGTGGTGGTTTTTAGGTTGGAAACACATTCTGAGCGTCGTGGGAATAAAAAAACTTTCTCTCTGTCTCAGGCTCCCAGTCTGGGCTCTCAGGGGACTCAGGACTCTGGTTTGGGGCTGCAGTACTTCAGTTCTCCTGACAGGGGGCGACAGCAGGACAGACCGCCCGCAGGAGGAGGGTACTGGGCGTACATCCCCCCCGACACACACCGACTCTGACTCAGGTACACACATACACAGGTTTTGAACATGTCGAGGTGTGATGCATCCTGAGAGCCTCGGACTCTGATGGGAACTGTCTCCAGCAGAGTGGAGGGACAGCGGGGGAGGCAGTGACGCTGACCGGAGCTCCTCAGGACAGACTCCGCCTCCTGCTCCTCCTGCCCCAGCTGCAGCGGCGGTCCCCGCTGGGCTCTCTGACAGTCACACTCCCCCCGGTCGGACCTGCCTGGCTCCTCTACAGTCCTCCAGCAGGAGGCGCTGCGCTGCACTGTAACATCCCAGAACACAGAAACCGGGTCAGTGTCTGCAGACAGAACCGGGTCGAATCCCTTCACTACAAACCTGTTTAACCACTTTGTGATTATTAGTTTTTATGAACACATGGCTGTGTTTTTTTGTCCATAATGAGGTGAAAATTCAAAGCTTTTCATCAAATAACAACATATTTTCTCGGGGAAGGACCCCATAATCCCACAACCTCAAAGCCCTACCTGACAGATACAGGTGCTTCATCACACTGATGCAAATATCATTCAAAATCACCTGACAGCAGAGCTGCCATCAAAGGCTTACAGTAACCACCACAGTGTGACCGCCTACCAACTGTGTGTGTGTGTGTGTGTCAGCAGGTAGACAGGTGTGTGTGTGAGTGTGTGCACAAAGAAGCTGAGAGACTGGAGGAAGAGAAGAAGAAACTACGAGTGGAAACCAAACAACTGCAGGACGCACTGAGACGCCACAGGTAACACACACACACACACACACACACACACACACACACACAGCTGTTCGTGTTATTCTGTGTGTGTGTCCTCTTAGTGAGGCTGGACAGACTTGTATTCACTAGGGGTGTGTCAAAGAAATCGATACTGCAATATATCGTACATTTTTCCACAATACTGTACTGAAATTAAAAAGAATAGTGCTTTGACTATTAGCTCAATGCTAACATATAATGGGAATCTCCATAAACGTGCTAACAGATATTAGCATCGCGATTTATAATCATAAGATAAACTACACATTTTGCTTCACGTTTAAAATCCTGAGTGACATACTCTGCAAATACTTAAAGTACATATGTTTCCTGAGCTCTGCTGCTTCAGCACGCCACACTGACCAGCTACAGCAACTCCAAAGGGTCAAAATTCTAACCCAAAATTCCCAGTGGCCTAAAAATACATCTACCACTAGGTGGAGAAACGGCAGCACAAACAGCAATTACTACTTTCAGCAAAAAATCAGTAAATTCGGTGAATTTGCAGTTTTATGTGCCATTTTATAAAGAAATCTTTTTATAATAATTTTTCATAGTTTCTCTGTAGTTCTGTAAAAATGTGTGCTGTTTTCAGGATTTGTAGCAAATAAATAGAGAACTTTTCCCTCAGGCCTTTTGCGTTAATAGTTAGACAGATATCGATATAGATATTATTTTAGGATTGTCTAGCGATATATCAATTATCACAGAACTGCTGTATCGTGATATTATCGATACGTTACACAAACAAGCACGAAGCACAGCTCACGTGTATCGTAACTGGCATCGTGCTTGTTGACATGAAGAGAAAAGGAGCATTGTTTTGCTGGGAACTGAAAACATAATACATACGAATATGCTCCGTCGTGGGTTAAAAGTCTGTCTTGGGGCGTCGGTTCGACAGTTGGTAGATCCACGTGCTCCCCTCTTTTCTATCCTCTCCAAAATAAAGGCAAAAAGCCCACAACTACAACACTGTGTGTGTGTGTAGGAGTGTGATGCAGGTGTGTGACGAGGTGGAGTGTTTGGAGAAAACGCTGCTGAAGAGACGAGCTGAACTCCGGCAGGCCGACAGACTGCTGCTGGAGGCTCAGAGCTGCATACACACAACCAGAGACAAGGTACAGACACACACGTCTACACATCGTGTCGCTGTCCCGCACCCGACCGCTCAGCTGATCCCGTCTGTCTCCTGCAGGCCAGTTCAGCTCAGCGGGACGCGGACCTGTTGCAGCGCTCAGCTGAGGACGGCGCCGCCTGTCTGCTGGAGGCCACCGAACACATCAGGTAAAGTCTCAAAGGCTGACCTTTGACCTCTAGAACTTCAGATACCAACATCATTATATTAACTGATCTCCAGAGAGCTGCAGGAGGAGGTGGAGGAGCTGCGGAGGAGGCGCCAGGAGGAGGAGCAGACCCTGAGGAAGGCGGAGGAGGCTCTGAGGAGCAGAGATCAGGAGTTCCAACAACTCGGCATGAAAATCCACTCAGCTGCTGAAAGGTGAGAATTTAGTTTCTGTGATCAGCCTGGGACACGAACGCGTTCCCACGTAAGAGCTGGACGATCCAACCATGACACATTTTCCATTTTACTGCAGCCTAATCAGTATCAACCCGGTGTGTGTGCAGATTAGCTGATGTGCTGTTGGACCTTCAGGAGTCTCAGAAGCATTTGAACTCGCTCAACAGTCAGGTAAACTTCATCCTTCAAGAGCAAACCTGAAACCTGCAGAGTGAAGGAAAAGACTTCAAGTCAGACAGTCAAAACAAAAAAAGTTGTGTTTTGTGTTTGTGTGCCGCAAACAGGATTTTGGATGACGATGTCGCCAAGGACCAATGACTGAATAGATTTCCTTCTTTAGGAAAATACTCAGATAAATTCACATTGAATGGTGAAATTCCTAAGAGGAGTTTATATTCAACACATGTTTAACAATAAATAATATTCAAGAGAATACATTACGATATAGGCCCACACATCAATAAATGAAAGTTAAAGTTTATCTTTATATGAGCGCCATCAAATGCGCCTACTACTCCTGTATTGCCGGCTAGTTGCATGAACTGTGTTTGCTTCTGTTGGATTACAGAAGAGTGTTGTTGGGAAGTCGATGAAACGCGTGACAGTGTGTGGAGCTTTAAGTGCAATAGTTGTTTTCCTTGTTGAACTGAAAAGTGGTGAGATGATGTCCCTCACCACCAACTCGCTGACAAAGTTTATGCCTTCGCTGTCCGACCCTGTTAAGTGAGCACCGTCAAATAATTCAGAACATCTTCCGCAAATATTTGCGCATGTCTCTGTCTCCATCTACTGGCAGCTCCAACCACCTGAGAGACCTCTGGAGCTTCTTAAATAACTGGGAGAGTAAGAGCCATTCTCAGCTTTATGAAATTTGATAACTTGCTTTTATACTTAAGTTTGAAAGCAGGAGTAAGTTTCATGAATTCTCAGCACTTCAGACTAAAATGGCACTTTGAGAAGATGGATAAATACCGGCCCTGATCCAGACGACCTGAGAGGTCTGGATGGTTCATAACTCAGCGACAGATCAGAAATGCATTTTGGCCCTAAACCATAATGTTTATGTCTGTGAGGATGGCAGCCGTTCATGAAACTGAACAGTGTGCTCCTCCCTGCAGGAGGAGCAGCAGGAGCAGAGGCTGCTTCGGAGGAGGGAGGAGCTGCAGACAGCTGGGAACAGAGTGCAGGAGCTCAGAGAGGAGGAACAGCGGCTGCAGGACAGAGTCAAGGTGAGGACATGAAGGAACTTCATCGTCACGGGTTCTTCTGCAGGAGCTGAATTTGGGTTCTGCTCAGGAAGTGACGCTCAATCCAAGTTTTAGGTACTTTCAGTGATGTCAGCCCTGATTGGTCGAGCAGAAGTTACGTCCAACGTGGACAAACACATCAAGTACTCACTGAAGTAGGATTTTTAGCCTCTTGTACTTTACTTGAGTAGTTCTAGTATCTGAAGTACACTTATTTACTGCCCCCCCGCATTTATCAGAGAGCTGTAGTTACTCTTTATTCCGTGATGAAATATGATGTGTTTTTATAGATTAAAGGCTCTGCACATCTTCACTGGTGTTTCCAGATAATGTGCCTGATAACACCTGCTCAGGTCGGAGTAAATAAGAATGATAAAGTTGTAACTCGTGCCACAACGATCAGTCAGTGAAGCCCAGTCTGTGCACGGCTGATCCACAAGCTCTGAATCAGGACTAAGGAGTCAAAGCACCAGGTGAGGGGACCATGTCTGGGTGCTCCACCTCAACCAGCTATATTAAAATTAGTAAATAATAATGTTTATCCACTAATGAACTAAATTATTTTAACACTCTGTTCTGCATAGTAAGTATATTTACCGCTGATACTTCGAGTACGTTTTGCTCATGATTATTAGGGCTGGGGTGATCCGTCGATGTAATTGATTACGTAATACCTCGACTCGCATTATGTGCGTCATCCGGTGTTAGTGGGATTAGTGGGCTGTGCCTTCTAAAGGCATTGCCGGCTCACACCCGGACGCGCTACAAGTGCGAGGGCCCACCCAACGCTGCTCTCAGCTTTAATTCAAAATATTTCTTCATCGTCTTCATGTTAAAAGTAATTTCTGCCCCGCTACTGTCATGGTAACGTAATGTTAAACCGTGTGTCATCTAATGTTCGGCCGTTTCATATTTTCTGTTTATTTAACGGCCACGTCTGAGCGAGAGAACACCTGAAAATAACATTACTGTCTGCACGGTCTGTGACTCCTTTCAGTTGTTTTCTTTGCCCCACACTGATGCAGAAATACCTCTGATTATCATACGTCAGAAACGTTTAAAGTTTGAAGTAAAGTAGCCTAATTAATGTCTGTTATTATCACAACACATCAGTGACGTGGAAATTGGATTAATTTTAAGATGTGCTGCTGTTGTGTGTTTTTGTGTTACACAAAATGTGTCGTTAGATTAATCGACTAATCGAAAAAATAATCATTAAATTAATCGACTTGAAAAATAATTGTTATGTACAGCCCTTCTCATAATACTTTTAAACAGTAGAATTTTTAGTTGCAGGACTTTTATGTAACAGAGGATCTTTACATTGTGGTATCACTACTTTTACCTCAGTTAAGTATCTGAGTACTTCTTCCACCACTGAACACAACATCCGGAGTCTGGCAGCACAACACGACACACAGTCACACTGTGAACGGAAAACATTACAAACATGAAACAAAATAAAAGATGACAATGCTGCCGGGACGCAAACTGAAGAAGGGCGACGTGGTTAGACGTGCTGGATGAACAGCATGGACAGAACATGAAGACGGCTGACTCGTCCTGTGGTCTGAAACAGCCAGGTTTTAGACTCACATGGTTTTTAAAGTTCAGGTCGCAGGAAGGACCAGGTTTTTAAGATGCTGCAGTGGATGAGTAGAGAGTGTTGTGAAAATGATGGGGAGCCAGCTGTCAGGAGACTCATGATGATTCACACAGCAATGTTTAATAACCCTCTGCCGAGGAGATCTGTGCCTCAGTTTACAGTGTAACAGCATGCAAAGCCAACAGAAATCTGAAGAAGCCGGCTTTAGTCCAGTTTATCTCTCTCTCTCTCCTTCCCTCAGGGTCTGAGGGCTCTTTATCTGGCTTTAATCTGAACTGCCAACAAGCTGAATGTTAAGACTCCCAATGTCTCGTTGAAATCTGATGGCTTTGCCTCCCAGTCACAGACAGTGAGTCTGTAAATCAGCTGCCTGGTGCTGAATGACGTCTTCCTGTCAGCCAGGAAGATTCTTCAGAGAGATTCTACTCTCTGGGGTCTGCTAGTGACCCCGAGCATGACCTGTACCTGAACTGCATCTCACCTGTAACCTGAATTAGGACTAGGAAGAAAATTAAACAGAGAGAACCTTTTTAAATGGTTTGGATGGTGGGAGACAAAAAAATGTGTTTTTGTAGGAGCTGATGGAGCAGCAGGAGGAGCTGATGGAGAAG